TTTTTTGGGTTCATTGAGAACATGGTTGTTGTTCAATAATAAAATTATTCCTCAAAAATACAACTTGCCTAATAATTCTGCACTCCCTGTATGGCTCACCTACAAAACACTGAAGCTTGCTGTCCCACAGCGGCGCTGCCCTCACACCATTAGCCACCAGAGCAAAGAAAGCCTTCTTCACCTGCCAAACAGACACCCAGTCACTGAAACCATGAACATGTTTTGTAACTGTGGCTTGTTTTACTGGCAGAATAAGAGGATGTGTTGTGAACATTCGACCTGCAGTGTTGTGTCAAAGATGACCAGTTTGGAGCTGGTTGGGATGGCATCGTAGCAGGAGTGACTCTTCATGAAGTTCGTGTAAATGAATGTGTCAGTCTGGACCTGTGGAGAAGAGCAGGTGTTGCTTATGCCACAGACAAATAAGAAATATAATATACACTGCTGTTAAAAATGTTGGTTTCATGTTGGGTATTTATATGAGGGTTTTTATTTTTTTATAAGGACATCATAATGTTTTCACAAAAAAAGATTATATGTTCTTCAAGCTTGGATCTAACAGTGTTTTGAGAGTTTGAAGATGCTGACAGCATCTGCAGTCTCCTGGACAGAGACGTCTGATGTGATGATGTGATGTTTGGACCACCTTTTACATTTACTCTGGTTATTTCTTTGGCCCCTGGTAAGTTTTGATTTGCTCGTGCTCCATCTTTCCTTGATCTTACCGGTAGCTGGGACAGCTCCATCTACAATCCCAATTTCAAAAAAAAAAAATACAAAAGAAAAAAAATACAAAAGAAAAAAAAAGGGCAACAGGGCAAATTTACCACCGTGTAGCAATATTTGAAAATAGCAACTGTGCAGTTTCAATACTTGTGAAGTGACCAGAAACAGTGGATCAAGTATGCAACAGAATAAATATTATGGGGAATTCAGCAAACACAAGCCACATCTCCCCGATTTCTTTCCCGTTTTCAGGACATATGTGTGTTACAGTTACCAGGCAACCTGGTGAACCCTAAAGCTTCAAGTCATCGCTATTTCAGTTAGGTGTCTGTACCCGACTGTCCACTGCTTCAGATTACACCTGGAATTTAGTTGGGTAAACAAGGTTGCACATTATTTTATAAAGTAATTATCAGAATCAGAATACGTTAGTAATCCCTAAGGAAACTGTGTGGTTACAGTAACAATCTGAACTAATTAAATAATACAGTACGTTACAAAGTTACAAAACATAAGAAATAGCTCTAATATATACAAATGGCTATCCAGAATACTACAGAGGTTCAATATATTGACATTTGACTCTAAACCTCAAACTGTAAAACTCACTGTAAAGGACAGCCACAGGCAGGAATGATTTCCTGTGTCGTTCAGTGGTGCATTATGGGTAGTATGTCAGTGAAGGCACTCCTGTGACTGGCCAGCACATCGTGGAGTGGGTGGGAGGTATTGTCCAGCATTGTCCTTATCACCGTATCCTTAACATCTGCCTCTCAGACACCACCTTAAGGAAGTCCAGCTCCATCCCCACATTGCTGGCCTTAGGATCAGTTTATTGAGTCTGCTGGCATCTGCGGCCCTCAACCTGCTGCCCCAGCATGCAACAGCAGAGGATCGCACTGGCCACAACAGACAGACAATCCTGAGTGTTGTCTGACAGATGTTAAAAGACCTCAGTTGACGACTCTGACCCTTCCTGTAGACTGCAGTAGTGTTTTTAACCCAGTCCAGTTCATTATCTATGTGTAATCTGAGGTAATATAAAAGTAGCTCCAGTGTTTTTTCTTAGCAACTTTTCAAAGTCACGTAGAACAAACAGCAGCACACGAGGTGCGAGGTGGAGGGTGAGGACAGTGTCTTACCTCTGCCAGAGGTTCCATAGCCTGCAGACAACAGCAATAAGAGGTCTGCACACGTAGAATCACACTGACCCACAAAACCCTGGACATCAAAATGACAGACAGCAGCACTGTGACGGACTGTCTACCTGGAGGAGCTGTGAGACTTTGCTGCCAAGTCAGATAAAGAGGTGTTGAAAGAGTCCAGACATGGTGAGAAGGACGGAAAACTGGACAAACTGAGAGGGAGACAAATTGCTCTGTGAAGCTTGAGACAGCTGGGACAGAATGTCTGGGAAAGACTGAAGTCTAAATCTGGACTGAAGTGTGAGAGTGGCATTTAGAGGGACAGAGGAAGAGTGGGTGGAGACGGGGGGGTATTGCCTTATTAACATTTGTAGCAGAGCAGAGGACGCTCATCCCGGTCACTTCATCTTCTGAAAGTGGAAACTAAACACAGATTTAATAAGCAGTTTGTATGTACGAGATGTCTGCATATCCAATAATCCATCCTCTCCTCCACCTCTGGCTCCATGAAAACAGCCAAAGTGCCAACATTTATACTGGTTCTTGAGTGCAGACTCGCGAACCAGTGGGTGATACAGCAATGACAAGCTACGGTAGCAACCAGCGCACTTCAGCACATTCGTTAGCTTCAATGTCATGAACTATTTGTGTGTTTTTAAGATTAGCTATCAGATCATCAGACATGTTTTAACAGTAGACATAACTTCTCTGTCCAAAGTGTCATTTTTACTCTTAAAGAATTTTACATTACTTTTAGTTTTGTTTACAATTCTTGTGAAACAGCTGCTAGTGATATTAGCTAATATGTGTCTTGATGCTCAATCATCCAGGTAAGTAAATCCCAGAGGCTGATTCTGCTAATCTTGACTTGGATGAGCAGAATCAACCTTCATTAGCTAATATTACTTTGATTTTAAGTGTGGAAATGTTCATATTTTAGCTTACATTTTTAATAACCAACTTTGATGTAGGGCTTTTAATGAGGTGCATTTAACTTCTCCCAGGATAGCTGAACTTTATACTTCTGTGTTACAGGAAGAAAGAAGTGCTCAGTACAGCTTTAAGACTTTGCTGGTACTACTGTGGGAGACATTCAAAGTTTACTGGGCCAGTAACTATTTATAAATCTAGTAAACCATCTCCTACTTTGCACCGTAGTCAGTTTACATGCAGCCTCTAACATCACTAAACACATAGTCAACATTCACATTTTTACAGAAAAGATTTAAACTTTGCCAAAAACCCCTTTGAAACCTGAAACCATGTGTTCTCTCTTAATTTCCAACAAAACATAACAAAATAAACTCTGCAGTTTGTTGACTAAAAACGAAGAAACTGTTGGCAAACGCACACAGATTCACCACTTCTTCTCAGGTGTTAACACAGCTCAAACATGTAGATCATTCTCTGAATCCAGTTTACATTGTAATTCAGATTCACAGCCAGCTTGTACAACGTCGTGCTAATAATAACTGCAGGTGTCCAAACAGGCTGTGCTGCTGGTTACAGGAGACCTCACATATTAATAGTTTACAGCTATTTACAGAGTCCTTTTAAAATGTTGTTGGAGTATCACAGTTGCAAAGAAAAGTTGTCAGCGCCCTGAAAACGCAGAGAAGCTGCAGTGATTGGACAGAAGAACAAACACAATGTGATTAAACTAAAAAAACAGCAAATCTGTAAAATCTATGTCTGCAAAAAGTGAATAAAGGTGAGCATCAGAACACATCTGTGGAGAGATGCTCAAACTTAACCACGTTAAATGAGATGAGCCATTTCTTTTTAAATGCCAGAATCCCACTGTTGGTAATTTATGTTTGAATAGAGTTGATCTGAAGTGGGTCAAAACTCGTGACAACCCAGAAGGTGAGCTGAAATAATTTCACTGGGTGGTGGCATAATCCATTCTCATAAACCACTTAGAAAAATACATAGCATAGCATTGGAGTGCTATGACTTCTTAGAGCAGAACAAACGAAAAAATTTATATATAATATGAAAATCATCATTGCAGATCAGTCACTGCCAGTAACAGTAACACTGATTCTTATTCATATTTATGTAGTTTTCCTTGTTTTTTCATTATTAGTTCTTTTACGCAGTGACTAAAAAAGACACTTCCACTTGATGTGCTAGTATAATATAGTGAAGTCAGGGCACTTGCAGTGCAGTAGTTCTCCTGTAGAAGGGCGCAGTCCGAGGAACAGCAAAGATACTGCACAGGCCTCTGGTAGAGAGGCCTGAAGGATAAAGATCGCCCCAGGGTGAGAAGGGAATTATATACATGTCTATGTTTGATCCTGAAATCCTGACAGATTTTTTTATTACTAATGTCTCAGTACATTTTTCTATTCACCTTTTCTTGAGTTACATGAAGCGTGACAGTTCCATATGCTGAACAACAGCCCACAAGCATTGACTGACTGATTGTCACTAGTAATGAAACACGTACATACATCTACTGTTCACTATAAAGCGCCTTAAGGCGACTGCTGTTGTGATTTGGCGCTATATAAATAAAATTGAATTGAATGCAGTGAAACAGGCCCCCTTCCGACCGTAAATACAGGCACAAACATGACGTTGGTAAGACAGGTTGGAGAGGTAGGAGGGTAAGAAAAACAATGAAATACACAATACATGAGGGGAGAGGAGGGAAAAAACTCCACCCAGACTGAGCTCCTCAGGGGAGAGCAGTTTGGGAACAAAACCCTCAATGAAGCACATGAGTCTTCACACCTTACAACATATAAAACACGTGACTTGCGATGGGTGGGGTTTGGGAGAGAGGCGACGTAGACAACAGCCATCCGGTCCTGCAGCCGGACCCTGGCCCTGGACACAGACTCGCCTGACTGCATTGGGTGGAAGTTCGAAGCCGTTGGAGGGGGGAGGTTGTTGTATATCTGTCTGAGTACACGTGTATGCGTGCGTGTATCCTGTATCCAACTCGAGAGAGTTCCCTTTCACCTAGTTTTAAGCAAAAGTCAACATTCCCCGAGCCAACACAGGTGACCTTGAGGAAGTAGGAGGATAGGGCAGAGTCACACACCGTCTTTAATCTGGAAGGATTTGTTGTTCCAGCTTCGGCTCTGGAGCTTCCAGCTGGTGAGGGGAGGCCGTGTGAAGATGCATCCCAATTCTGCAGTTGATCTACTCTCCATCACTGGTCCCAGGTCTATTCATTTCCCATTGCAGAGTCGTGAGCTTCTCCATGATTTTATCTATAGTGCGTTCAATAAGCACAGTCTGAGTACTCACTGCATCAGTCATGCCGGTCAACCTTTTTGGGAAGCTGTAACCGCTTTCATTAGTCGTAGATAAGCCAGGGCTATGCCAGCTCCAATCAGCAGGAACCCCGTTATCAGGGTTCCAAATAGGTAGATGTCTTCAACGTCCTCCATCGAGTGTTGCCAGGCACAAGACCCGCCACCCCCCAGCCGTCCATTGTGTATGCAGCAGCCAACATTCCTGCAGGACATTCAGGCTCCCCCGGTCTTCTCGGTGAGAAGAAGATGTCAGTCGCGTTAAGAGACTAGTTGATCAAATCCAGAATTTCTTGATTTTAGAGAACAAGACGGAGCGAGTTAGAGCAGACGAGACAAAAGAAGCCAAACAGGAAAGATAAGGGAGGGAGAGAGGAAGATGTGACCGCCTCCGTCAAGAGCCAAGCCTTTATTGTTAGTATGGTATATTGAGATGATATGCAGTGCACTTTGACCTCCAAACATGGTGTGTATAATGGCTTCCAGAGTTCAGTTTTGGTCTCAGGCTATATTGTCCCAGTATTTCACAGGCGTCTATTGTTATTCAGCAAACTTTTAGTGTTCAACATACTTTTTCTTTAGCAATGGAGTCTTGCATGGCGAGCGTGCATACAGGCCATGGTGTGCATCTCTTATTGTTTTCTTTGAAACCATTGCACCTGATGATTCCAGGTCCTTTTGTAGTTTTGGTCCTCAGCACTTGGACAAGTCTTCTGAGAATTTTCACTTCTCTGTCTGAAATCTTGTGGGGAGCAACTGGTCATGGCTGGTTTATGGTGAAATTATGTTCTTTCTTGTTCCAGATTATGGCTCCCATAGTACTCACAGGAACCTTATTTGATCCACTGTATAGTGACTGGACCATGTACAGTTAATCTGTATAAATTCATATCTAAAACTACGTTTTTTCCCACCCCCACTAATGGAGGCGCCCTCACTCATTTCCTCCAATAAAAGAGTAGCACCACAAAACTGCTAGTTCCAAACTACCGAAATTATGTCCCCCTTAATTTCCATCTCGTGGAGAAACAAACACCAGAAAACATTTGTTTGTTAGATCTGCTGAATGCAGGCTGCTTCTCAAAAGGCACCAAGTGAAAAAGAAGCTACTATTTATAAGCAGCCCAACTCTCTTTAATTTAATATTCATCAAATCAGAGTAAGTGACAAAAAAAAGGGAAAGACCCAAACCAACACCTCTTACCTGTACTGACCGATTTTACACAAAGCCTGGTTAGGGCAAAGAAAAACCCCAAACTTCATGACTTTTCTTTCAGATTTGTTGCTATTGTCATTGTCACACTGTGCTCAGGAGTTAGAGCATGTCGTATACTAATCTGGAAGGTCGATGGTTCGATCCTTCCAGTATGCACACCATCCTTGGACAGGATATCGAACCACAAGTTGCTCCTGATGTGTCCAGAGTGTCAGTCTTAGAAAGCCCTTAGGAATAGAAACAACTATTTGCATGAATGTAGGTGTAAGTGCTTTGAGTGTTCAAGCAGAGTAGAAAAGCACTATATAGGAACCAGTCAGTTCATTCTGTGTCTGTCAGACATTCATATTGTGGTTTCAAATAATGCAGTAAAGTGCTCCCTTTGAGCCAAAACTCTTTAAACTGCTTCAAAGGCTAGATTCATTGTTACCTGTAAGACGGATTTGTCATAATTAGCATCACATATTTGTGTTTTGTCTTTTACTGCCCACACTGTACCGTGGAGAAGGTTGATCACACATAATAAAAAACATGAACCGTCTGGCTGTGGGGCTTTTGTTCGTTTGGATCTCCCGAGGCAGCAAAGAGACACGGCAGCCGTTTTTGGACTTGAACCTTCAACTGCTTCTTAAATGTAAGAAAATGCACTTTGGGCATATTCGTCTTCTCTCTCCTGCCAACATCAATTTGTTCATCTGCCACCCAGCAGAGGATGTCTCCCAAGTACAGTTCAAGAATCAAACACGTCTCCTTTAAAGTTCCTGCTATGACGAAGAGAACTGAAAATAATTATGC